TACTCGCGATGCAATCGTTCGGAAAATAGACGCGAGACAATAGAAGGAAAATGGGACAAGGTGCCGCTTGCGTCACACGATGGACGGGATTTCAATTTTCAGATAAGCCCCACTTTCTTTATCTAATATTGCATAAGGAGATGTTCCCAATGTGATGATTTTCCCAGAGGGTTGTTTATCGGATTGGTTTCAGGTTAACCACGTCACGATTGATAATTTGGTGTTTAGATTGCATAGCAATGCTACGGTTATTCTTTTGGTGACTTTTTCGATTGCTGTCACTACGAGACAGTATGTGGGGAATCCCATAGATTGTGTCCATACAAGGTAAAAAATTAACAGTCAATATTCAGTGACTACAAGTTTTTTTATAGAGACATTCCGGAAGAAGTTTTAAACACTTACTGCTGGATTCACTCGACTTACACCGTGATCGACGCTTTTAAAAAAATTCCGGGCAATCAAGCTTCAATTCCGGGTGTTCAAAATTCCGGAAAATCTCCGGTTAAACAAGTCAAGTATTATCAGTGGGTTGCTTTCACTCTCTTCTTTCAGGTAAGTTTTGTTATTTGTGTGTAAGATGCATTTTGCTCTACACAATGATTTTTTCTTTAACCTCTTTTTCTTTAAATTTTTTGCTACTGTAATATTTTTTTTCTATTTTGCGTTCGTACTAAGGTCCATTACGAAACTGTTTTGGGTTTCGTAATGAACAAAAACAGTGCTATAAAAATTATACTAAAAAGAGGGAAATTTAGTCTTATAATGTTGGCGACCTAACCGTTTTTCCATCGAACTGTCACTGTCAATCGGTCTAACACAAATGAAATTATTCAAATACGAAATTTTTGCTGTGTTTGGTTTAATTAATCATCGCATAAAATATTCCGAATGAACATGATTATAGTGGTGCTTACGCATACCTTTAGATCATAGGACAAAGTCAAATAAAAGGTACTTACTGTTACTTTTAAGACTTTTGTATTTAGGTAGGTATTGCCGTCAACTTACTGAACAATATTGGCGTGTGATCTCACAGGGAGTAAACTATTCATCGTATTTGCCCTCAAGGTCGGTATTTCTAACGCCGTACATTGCAAAACGTCTTCGACACCTTCGAAATTCATTTTTACGAATAAAATAATGACGTTTCAAATTAATTTATTTCATAGCCACCTAGCCACCACGCAATGTCGCCAACTGCCGCAAAATTCCCTACATTCCAAAATTTTTATTTTTTTGTTTAAAAAAGTGCAATGTAGAAAAAATACTGTATGATATCTCGTTTATAAGGCATTTTGTCGCACTTACTGCTTTATGACACTCCTCGCTGCGTTCGTCGTGTCCTAAACACGTGCGTGCGACAAAATGCTTCTTATAAAACTCGTATCATAATATACTATTTCTTGCTCATTGCGACAATATCAAAAATCATCCAAACTATTGGCGCATTTTCTATTACCTACAATTTTTAGTAATAATATAAATTTTATTTTACGAATAAGTGACTAATAAAAATTTATTGATTCGTAAACTGAATTGGTTTTTATACTTCAATGCGATTTTTATTGAAACTAACTATAAAAAATACTTTGTTGGTATCTAATACAATAAATCACTGAAAATAATAATTTAATAAGTATTTGGGGCATAAAATCAAAAAAACGTGTTTCTGCTTAATATTTACGATAGAAACCTTTCTTAAGCTGGGTTGACTTTAGATCAAGCGCGTTTAGATGGCGCCACATACCAACCTCCAACAAAAAAAATTGAAAAAGCTCTATAAAAAATCTTTTCTCTATGTAAAGCTCGTTATAATTTAACCACGTCTCGTCTATTTCCGTTGCTTAGTTCGCATTTTTTTCTGTTTTACGACTCCTCATTCTCCATTCCTGTCGTCATAAACTCAACGGAAATATCCTCAAAGCAACTATTTCGGAACTGGAAACTGCATCAGGAAGTACATTTAAATCGTCCAAAATTCGTTCGCGTTTATTTTCACTGCGGACGTTGTGTTTATGAGTGAAAAGCTTCAGTTTCGTGCTGAAGAAAGCTCGATTGTTTATACACCTGGCCAGCCTTGGCCTCACCGGAGGCAAATAAATATTACTGGAAAACATAAAGAGTGGAACATGGTGTAAACACATTAGCACAAACAGACGAATAAAACTGAAGCAAATTCGCCAAAAATATTCGGGAACGAGAGTAGACGGAATCGGGCGAAATGAAGCGAGTAAAATGCTCGGAGTTTGTGGTTAATTTTGTAAAAATGGTTCAGTTGGGAAAAATGAATGCTTGTGCGAACTGAGAAAGCGTCGTGACGACGAGTGGCTTTGATTGGTTCGGCGGGTTGGCAGTGGCGGGGGCAGGTGAGGGGCTATGGGCAGTAAAGTGCGAGTTATTTTTTTTTCGGAAAACTTAAGTCGGGAGCAATTACTCTTGAAGTATTTAAAAATTAATGTCTTTCATTAAATTTCTTATTGCATTTTTTTAAAATACACATAGCCTATCGATTGAAATGTCAAGTTTTCCGATAAATTGTCAAAGATTTTCAAAAATTGAATTGGTAAATTTAGAAAACACTTTCCACAACCATTAGAGAATGTAACAATTATGCTCAACGAAATACATATATTGCCATAGATTTCAAAACTGTCAGTGTCAGATATCAATGTCAAATAACTTGTTATGTTCAGATTAAATTGTTTTTGATTCATATTTTCTGGTCGTGGAGAAAATACAGTCTGTTACTCGGTTAGAATAAAAATTCGGTCTACTCGTGGTTCCTCCATTCGTATCGAATTTTCATTGTAACCTTATTACAGAATATACTATTATTGTTAAATTATTCTGTTAAATACAGTTATGTTCACAATTGCCAAACTGATGTTATATTTTTTGTTCTTCAAGCGTATAACAATATTGTTATTATTCTTCAGCAATGCCAGCGTAGAACGAAGGTAGTAAATGACGATATAATAATGCAATCCATTATTTTATTAGCACCGTGAAATCAAAAATTATCTTGGTCGAGAGTGGTCATGGAATGAAAAACGTCTGTCGTTGCTTCATCCTTTTGAAATAATTCTGTCAATTTGACTCACTGATAGCGTCGATGACATAACCTACAAAAAATTATTTTAAAATCCATGACCACCTTTGAACAAGATAATTTTTGATATTATGGTATAATGACAGTAACTTTTAGTATGAAGACATTGGCAACATTGAATTTTATAAATATTATTTCATAATTAAAATTTGTCAGGTCGTGTGTCACTAGTAAAAGGATCCAATAAGTTTTTTGCGCTTATAGAAAAAATAGTTTATATCTCTCGGAGCAGAAAGTTTTTTTGTGTTTTGCTCAGTTTTCCTGCCACGGCTGCAAACATCTGAGTTCAACTGAAAATGAATGCTTTCTACTCTTAGTAATAAGTATAATATACTATTTTCTAAGTTGCTGCTAATTTACCATTAGACAGTGTGTCTCCCGATAGGTTTGAAAGATATAAAAAATTTGATTTAAATTTTAACTTTTTGGGGTTCAGTGCTCTTGTACAGACGGAAAGCTGTTCAAACAAGTTTTCAAACGAAAAAAAAAATAATTTTTAAGAAATACAGTAAACAAATTGTTTTTCTCTTACAATTAGATGTTGTTCCTGAATTAAAAAAGTACCTCACACACAGAGTAACACAGAGTTTTTATCTCATTTTGAGTATTTGCAACGGATTTAAAAATTCAATAGTTTTTATTTTTTTTTATGAAAAAACGCATTATTTAAATTGCATGAAAAAAATATAGTAAGATAAGTAGGTAATCTACAATACGCCAAAAATAAATCAAAAAATTCTTCCGTACAGTTTTTTTATAAAAAATAAAATGGCCAAATATCGAGGTTTTTTTAAATTCATTTTTAAACGGCCCAGACAAAAAATTTCAAATTTATATACAGAGTGCGCCAGAACTCGCGCCCCAGAGAAAGATAAGATACCAGGAACATTGAAAAAATGTTAAAAAAATTTCATCTATAAAAATTATGAGAGTTTAAAGTTTGCACTTTGACTTTATTTATTTGTGTTGGAAAAATAATTTTCCAAGTTTTTTTGCTATAGGCTATTAAAAGAGGAAACAAGGAAGCTGTATCCTGAATTGTAACTCTGTTCAATGTTATTTGTGGCTTTTATTGGCAAAATTTTTGTCCCTTTACTAAATAATTGTAAAAAAACATATACAAGATCATCAGTATCATTAAATAGATATAAAAAAATGTCAAAAAACAAATGTAAATTTTTTTTAAAAGCTAGAATTTTTTTTAAACATTTTTTTCATGTCTCTGGTATTTTACTTTAATTGAAAATTTTCTGTGGAGCGCGAGTTCTGGCGCACCCTGTATATTGCTGCTAAGGCCATCAAAATGATATTTTTTTCAGAATTTTTAAATAACGATTTATTTTTTTACTATACTGAATATAGTTCAACCTTAAAGATTAATTTCTAACAAAATTTTAATTTTGAAAAAGAATGTTTTTCAGTTTTTCTGTAAAGTGCCTGTTATGTGGCAAGTACGACAACAACGAGCGTATTATACGCGAGTAGTATACTATACTTTATCCATGACTACTAAATATTTTTGTTGAAGAATGTACAGAACTGCATTGAAAATATTTAGTGGTTTACACCATACAATTTTAAAAACCAATAATTGTTTGTAGCAAAACAATATAATATTATAGCTAAATCAAGGAAGCTTCTGACAGCAGTGATTAATGAGTCATTAYTCACTGCTGTGATTAATGGGTATTATTAAGATGGAGCAAACAGACGTACGTATAAGGGGAACATTATACAATAGTCGTGGATAAAAGTTATTTAAATCAAAGCATTTAGGTCTTTATACCAACCAAATTTAAAAATCATGGCCTCTACTACGATTTTTCTTTTTTTTCCAAGATATTGTGCACACCCCAACTCCTATAAAATGGAAAATTGTTTGAATTGTATTAAGTGGGCCGATCCCGACTATACTGCAATGTCGAGCCAACCCTTGACGAAGGTGGAGCAAGCTCCTCGCCTTCGTCAAATTCCAAAAATCAGTTTAATATACTGGCCCCGCATGCGCGGGGCGTATCAGATATTAAGCTGATAAGAACAGATACTACACTTTGATCTTAGCCATAGGCCGAGAAGCGATAACGAAACGTTTGCCTTTCGAGGTTTTAACTCCAAAAGGACTTCAGGTACTCGCAAGATTGATATTATAGCGACACCTTGCGACGGTTTTTAGTATTTGTCGGGCATTTGGAGTGGTACCGAATCCATACCGGATCAATAATGACAAACCCTATTTTTGTTAATAATGATAAATACTAATCAAAATTTAAATTTTTATTTTTATTTTGTTGTAGAAGCAATATGTTGTATAATACAGACATACAAATTTGCCTTTTACTAACAGAAATACCAAAAATGTATTTAATATGTACTAATAATAAATTAATAATAAAAAAGAATTGTTAAAAAGAAAATTCTTTGATTTTCGAATTAATAATAAACATAAAAAAATGAAAAATCGTAGTTGGCCCACAATTTTGAAATTTCTAAACAACTTTTCTTAATAATTTTTTGTCGTATTTGCTACACAGAAGGCACTTTCTTATACAGAAAAATAGTTTTTTTGACAATTCCCAAAGCATACTTGATTTTTCAAAACTAAAATTATGTTAGAAATTAGTTTTTAACCTAGCAGGACTGAATCTTAATAAATGAAAACTAGAATCTAAAAATTTTTGTCTTTTACAAGAGTTGTTTTACCTATCTGGGGACACACTGTATATTGTAAAATTTTGATAGGACTTCAAAGCATAGTGATAATTTTGTAATATGCTAAAAGCATTGTGATAATTTCGTAATATGTTAAAAGCATAAGCTAAAATATGTCAAAAACTGTTAAAAAGTTCAGGAAATATTTGCAATTTAAAAAGCATTATCTACTTAGTGATAAAAGTGGCAAAAACTAATTTAATCTAAATGGTGCTAGGTTTCGAGTACGGATACCTAAAGACTAGGATACGACACGATGTGAAAGAAAACATCCCTGTTCTCGATAGTTCCGTTAATGAGGCCAGATAGTGCAGTTGTTCCTGTCCGGTTTGTTTTTATCGTATCATCGTTTATTATGTCTCTATAATTGCAAATATTTCTCTACAATTATATGGGTCATAATATCATAGAGATCCCATAACACGTTAGTTACACATAATACATTAGTTACTGCCATGATTTTGCCACGTTTGGTCGTGCCTGGTAAAAGTAATGGAAGATTTTGGTATTCCCGCACGTATTTTAGAGTCATTAGAAAATGTGAAAATGGATTTGTTGCCAGACAAGTCAAAAATTCAATACGAAAAAGAATATCGTGTTTTTTGTGAGTGGCGAGACAAGGAACAGGTTGGAAGTGCTAGAGATACCGTTTTGCTAGCGTATTTTGCAAAACTTTCAAATGCATTGGGAGAATTGCAACGACCATGCTTGTAAACGCCGGTGGAGACGTGTTAGAACTGCAAGAGTTGGGTGGATGGGAGTCCAGCAAAGTTGCAAAGGGGTATTTAGAAGAAAATCTAGAAAAGAAGATTTAGATTGCGCAAAAAATTCAGGTAGGAAGGGTATCTATGGCAAGTGTTTCTGGTACTAAAGAATCAAAATGTGTGCTGTATTATCTGGGAGCGCTACAGGAGATGCGGCAGTCAAGATGGAGATGTGTCTTTCAGTTTTCATAATTGTAAAAATATTGAAATTAATGTTCCAAAATAATTGTATACTATGTTAATATGTTATCAGTTCTAATCTAAATCATGGCAGTAACTAATGTATTATGTGTAACTAACGTGTTATGGGATCTTTATGATATTATGACCCATATAATTGTACAGAAATATTTGCAATTATAGAGACATAATAAACGATGATACGATAAAAACTTAAACGGGACAGGAACAACTGCACTATCTGGCCTCACTAACGGAACTATCGAGAACAGGGATGTTTTCTTTCACATCGTGTCGTATCCTAGTCTTTAGGTATCCGTACTCGAAACCTAGCACCATTTAGATTAAATTAGTTTTTGCCACTTTTATCACTAAATAGATAAAGCTTTTTAAATTGCAAATATTTCCTGAACTTTTTGACAGTTTTTGACATATTTTAGCTTATGCTTTTAGCATATTACAAAATTATCACAATGCTTTTAGCATATTACAAAATTATCACTATGCTTTGAAGTCCTATCAAAATTTTACAATATACAGTGTGTCCCCAGATAGGTAAAACAACTCTTGTAAAAGACAAAAATTTTTAGATTCTAGTTTTCATTTATTAAGATTCAGTCCTGCTAGGTTAAAAACTAATTTCTAACATAATTTTAGTTTTGAAAAATCAAGTATGCTTTGGGAATTGTCAAAAAAACTATTTTTCTGTATAAGAAAGTGCCTTCTGTGTAGCAAATACGACAAAAAATTATTAAGAAAAGTTGTTTAGAAATTTCAAAATTGTGGGCCAACTACGATTTTTCATTTTTTTATGTTTATTATTAATTCGAAAATCAAAGAATTTTCTTTTTAACAATTCTTTTTTATTATTAATTTATTATTAGTACATATTAAATACATTTTTGGTATTTCTGTTAGTAAAAGGCAAATTTGTATGTCTGTATTATACAACATATTGCTTCTACAACAAAATAAAAATAAAAATTTAAATTTTGATTAGTATTTATCATTATTCGTCAAGTAACAAAAATAGGGTTTGTCATTATTGATCCGGTAATGGATTCGGTACCACTCCAAATGCCCGACAAATAGTAAAAACCGTCGCAAGGTGTCGCTATAATATCAATCTTCCGAGTACCTGAAGTCCTTTTGGAGTTAAAACCTCGAAAGGCAAACGTTTCGTTATCGCTTCTCGGCCTATGGCTAAGATCAAAGTGTAGTATCTGTTCTTATCAGCTTAATATCTGATACGCCCCGCATGCGGGGCCAGTATATTAAACTGATTTTTGGAATTTGACGAAGGCGAGGAGCTTGCTCCACCTTCGTCAAGGGTTGGCTCGACATTGCAGTATAGTCGGGATCGGCCCACTTAATACAATTCAAACAATTTTCCATTTTATAGGAGTTGGGGTGTGCACAATATCWTGGAAAAAAAAGAAAAATCGTAGTAGAGGCCATGATTTTTAAATTTGGTTGGTATAAAGACCTAAATGCTTTGATTTAAATAACTTTTATCCACGACTATTGTATAATGTTCCCCTTATACGTACGTCTGTTTGCTCCATCTTAATAATACCCATTAATCACAGCAGTGARTAATGACTCATTAATCACTGCTGTCAGAAGCTTCCTTGATTTAGCTATAATATTATATTGTTTTGCTARAAACAATTATTGGTTTTTAAAATTGTATGGTGTAAACCACTAAATATTTTCAATYCAGTTCTGTACATTCTTCAACAAAAATATTTAGTAGTCATGGATAAAGTATAGTATACTACTCGCGTATAATACGCTCGTTGTTGTCGTACTTGCCACATAACAGGCACTTTACAGAAAAACTGAAAAACATTCTTTTTCAAAATTAAAATTTTGTTAGAAATTAATCTTTAAGGTTGAACTATATTCAGTATAGTAAAAAAATAAATCGTTATTTAAAAATTCTAAAAAAAATATCATAACTTTTTGATGGCCTTAGCAGTAATATACAGGTGCGCCAGAACTCGCGCCCCAGAGAAAATTTTCAAGCAAAGTAAAATTCCAGAAACATGAAAAAAATGTTTAAAAAAATTCTAGCTTTTAAAAAATTTTTACATTTATTTTTTGTTTTTTTTTTATATCTATTTAATGATACTGATGGGCGGGACGCAGCCCAATATTTTTGAAATCGCTACGAATATGGTTAAAGATACAAAAAAATTATAACAAACAAAATTGTAGAAAATAAAATTTGCTACAAAAAAGTCCGCGAGAACATATTTCTATCTTCTACGGTTTAGGTTTAAATTGCTTTAAAGTGTTCCTCTGGCACTGAATCACCAGTAAAAATGAAACGAATCCGTTGCTTGAGCAGCTTTGAACGTCTTTGAGGCCTAAACCATTAAACTTTTTACCTGAAAATTTTATTATCCACAACATTCTTTCTTACATTTTTGTATCTTCAACCGTATTCGCAGCATCTTAAAAAGCATGAAACGGAGCACAGATTTTAAATTTTAATCCAATCAATTGAGTAATTTTGTATCTCGTTTCGTTTCCTAGTATGTAGTTCTCCATAGTTTTAAGTTTATTGCCAGCTTAATCGATTTTAAAGTGAAATTGTTTTAATAAAATCTTAAAATTGTCAAAAAATGTTTTTGTTTTTTGTTTTTTGAAGAAATATTAAAGCAAAACTGAGATATTTTTAATACAAACGTTCTTTCAATTCACTAAAAGTATTTTGAAGGTATACACCTATTTTCGATAATATTTTGTAGAACGATTGGTCAATTGAGCATTATATTTCCATATTATAAAATGAATCTTTTCCATTAAACTGATTTATTCTGCACTTTCCACGCCAACAGCGCGTGAGGGTTTGAGACCACGTGACTTGAAACGGGTGTCTTAATGAGTCACGTGACTCGATCCCAACTTAGCCCCCGTTTCGTGCCGCCGCTGTTTTTTTATTTATAACTTTCCGAAGTAAGATAATCGTATGACGCTATCCGTCCGGCACATGGCCGCTCCGTTGGGCAAGTCAGTGTTAAAATAAGCGTCTCGACGCCGGGTCGCCGTCGCCATCGCCATCGCCATCGCCGCGTAAAGTCGAACCTGTGCACGAGTGTGGCTTAAGCACCGTCGTCCGACGATGGACTTCCGTCCGCTGCAGCGCAAAGCTCGGCCTCGTTAATGGACGGAAGAGGATAAAATGTTGGACATCTTCCGCGGACTCAAGTCCCTCATCAGAGTCAACCACATCCACACCGATTCGCCCGTTTTCCGTCTGCATTATTCCATCACTGTGCTGATTCTTGTGGCCTTTAGTCTAATTGTGACGACGAGGCAGTATGTGGGTAATCCGATTGATTGTATCCACACGAAGGACATTCCGGAAGACGTCCTTAACACCTACTGCTGGATTCATTCCACCTTCACCATCAAACAGCAGCAAGGTCCAAAGGCCGAACCGTTTAGTTATCCGGGGGTTAAAACGACAATCGATGAAAAAGACAAGAAACTTGTCAAGTATTACCAATGGGTGTGCTTCTGCTTGTTCTTCCAAGTGAGTGAATCAAGAAATTGCAATGAAAAACAAAACAAGCAAAAATACAAATTTCAATTTCCCGCATTTTGGATTTAAAATGACAGAATCTATAGCAACATTGCAAACAAATAAATTTTGTTGATTGATTTATTTCCAAATTGTCAAAATCATAAAAAAATTGTCAGTAGATACGTCATTTGCAAGAATTTCAATTATTGATATTTATACCAGGTTGCAAAATTGTCAAAACTGTCACTTTAGCATTTGACAATGAATTGAAAAAGAAGTAGTCAATAGCTTTCTTGTGCAGATGTTTCAGCTGTAAAGTCTTAAAAATGTTGAAAACTTGTTATATTAAAGTTTGACAATTTTGGATTTTAAATATCAACCGACTGTCAATATAATAATTTTTTTGCTAAGAAAACCGGCATATTGTGATATTGTGAAAAAATGTCAGAAACAAAAGTTTCTGATTTAAAAGTTTGTTTCTAGGTTAACTTTTGGTTTTTGTAAAGAGTTAACAATTTCCTGACCTTAGAAAAATTGTGCCAAAATTGTGAAAAGTTTACGAATGGTGGAATAAACAAAAAGTTGTGATCAAAAAACGTGGAAATGTCATAAATTGACACCCTGAGTGTCATCTTTTGCTTAGTGTTTTGGCATCGTCATAGTGATGTTAATAATTTTATTTTGCAATTTTACAATTTCAATTTTTTGTTGTCAAAAACGGTTATACAACATTTTTTCAATTTGGCATTGACCACGCTACATTTTTTCTTTTTTCTTTGGAACTGTGAATGCTTTTCTATTTTAGATTGTCAAAAAAAATTGTCAACATAAAATTGGTATTTTTTTATTATTTATTTTGAAAAAATGGTGTTGGTAATTTTAAAGAGTTAAAAAAATTCCTGTGCCAAAATTGTGAAAAGTTTACGAAATTATGGAACAAACTAAACATTGATTAAAATACGTGGAAATGTGATAAATTGACACTCTGAGTGTCATCTTTCGGTTAGTGTTTTGACATCGTCATAGTAATGTTAATTATTTAATCAATTTTTTGCAATTTTACAATTTCAATTTTTGTTGTCAAAAACGGTTATACAATATTTTTTCTAAAATTTGACATTGACGCTAAATTTTTTTTCTTTGGTACTGTGAATGATTTTATATTTCAGATTGTCAAAAACATTGCCAACATAAAATTTTGTTTTTTTTATTAGGTATTTATTTTGAAAAAAATGTTGGTATTTGTTATAGATTGTTTAATAAAATAAGTTTTTTTCCATGTTTCGTTAAACATTTTGAACCTCTGACAAGTTCAAATAAATCTCTGCATTCTTAATGATCAAAGTTTTCTTTTAACTTTTCGCTCCCTTGGGACATTTCAAATCGCCATAAACCTCGAATCGCGAAGTTCGCCATTAATCATTGAGCAAACATAAACTTGTGCAGTTATTGTTAGACGAGTTTGATTATTCTTGAATCAACATTAGTCAACTTCTAATTTAGATACCAACAGGTGTTTCTTTCGATTCGTTTTGTTCCTCGCTCTATTTTCATCATTCGCGTATTTGTTCCATTTACATTTTTATTAGGGCGATTTTGGCATCATTTGATGAATATAATTAGGTCTTGAATTTTCCAACGCTCGATTTTCTTCACGAAACGGAAATAATTGGTCCGACTATAAAAGATAATGCTTTGTAATGAAAACAGCGACTTGGCAGCGAGAGTTTCTTGGGGTCGCTTTAACGAGCTTTCATTGAAAGGAGAACAAAGTACAAAAACAGTGAACAAAATTCAATATTTTGTTACAAAACTTAACACCCACACTTATTCTCACTGATCGAAAAAATAAAGGACGAGTGGGAGTCTTAATCCATCAATGAATCTCACAATAAATATTTTCGAAATAAAGTTTTTGAGTAAGGAAGCTATAAACTATCAGTATTTCTTCCGTTTCATTCTTTCTGCCAAGTTTATTCAATCTCGTTAATTCGGAGTTAATTATTACCGACATAAAAACACGAAGTAGATCGAATGTTAATCATCCGGATATGACACAATTTTGAGAAATGTCTATTTCTGTGTCCCAAATAATACATCAATTTTAAATAAACAGTAAAAATAGTACCTGAATCATCTGGTACCGAGATGCTTCTAAAAATAGACAGATTGACGTTTTGTCATAATTTACACATATGAGTGAATATGTGTTATAGTTTTCAGCGTAGTTGCCTTGAAATGAAATTGGAGCATTGAAAGAGGTAAACGCTGAGTAAAGAACAAAGGAGTATTGAGAAACGGTTTGTTTAAATAATTTTTCGATTGCTTCAAACTATCCAAATTTAATTTACAGGTGAAGGATTCCGTTTTACTGTGTCAAAACGTAAAAAAAAAAAAATAAAATAAAAAATCTAATATGCAACTTAAATTGTCGATACACTTTTCTCCCTTATTGTAATACAGATAACTATAATATAACCAATGTCTTTATCAGAGTATAACTCTGAAAATTAGAGGCTGTAAAAATTGTCAAAAACTAGAAAACTATTTTTGCGAATTTTTGCTGCATATCTGGGGCATTTCTGTTCAGGAGTTACAGTAAAACCTATTTAAAGTTTAAGAAGCCGGAATCACACGAAATAAATAAATTTCAATTACATTTATTGGTCGTTTCGTGAAAAATCGGAATAAAAATCGGTTTGTAGCCATCTGTTGGGAAATATTTTTTATTACTCTAAAGACACAAAACTGAATTTTACGATTTCGTCCTTCAAAACTTATTGTATTTAAATCGTATATAAATAAAATTAGAGATTAGGTAACTTCAGATATTTAACCAATTTCCGTTCATGTGAAATAACTGTTGAGAAATTGAAGTTTATTTTAGTTTTCGACAAGCATTTCACCATAAATATTTAATAAATTAATATTAAAACAATTAACGACGAAATAAAATAACTCCTCTTTCAACTAATAAATCAGATAGGAAATGTGGTCCTAAAATAATAAGCGGCGATGTGGAGAAATCAATTTCTGATGCAATTCATTTTGATGACGCAAAAATTGCAATCTTGACTAAATATTTGCCTATTTTTAGAAGCGTTTAATTGAAAATTGCAATAATGACAAAAATTATATTACCAAAAGCTTTTACACCGAATGATCTTTCTAAAAATTGTCGATTAAGAGTTCTCAGAAACACATTTACTTTATTCTAGGATAAACAAGAGAGAGCCATTTATCATATTTATTGAAAGTTTTAAATCGATTGTGACTTAAATGCATAAACAATTTCAAGTTCACAATTCTCTACTTTTGATCAAAGAAATTTCCTTCAAACTTGAACTACTTTTCATGCCATCGTAGTGGATTTTAAATTCGTGTTTGTTGAAAATTTCGCGTTTTACTGTTTTGCAGTTATTGCAAATTGATGTAAGCGTTGTAGGCTGTCATTACCATCCGTAAATAAGCCAATGTTTGCGTAGTACAATATATTTATGGGCCGTGTTCCAGTTTCAGATTTAGTACATCTTTTTACTAAAAAAGTTTGATTTTACGGCCATTAAATCTGGATTGTTAATAAATGTTTTCTTGTCAAGACTAAAAATACATGGGCATAGTTTAGAGTGTTTAAGAAGCAAAGTCAAGTACTGTGTATACAGTGATAAATGGTAATAATTATTTTCACGATGAGATGAAGCAACAGTTGGATTAGACAGGAGTCAGGTTCGAGAGGATTACAGATCAAAGAGAGAAAAAATAGAATTTTGAAAATTTGATGTTTTACGGTTTGCATTTCCGGAAAAATCTGAAGTAGAAATCAAATACCAGGTGAATAAAAAAGTATGGAATCCAACGTTTTATGCTTAAACTATTTATTTTTTGAAAAAACTAATTGATGAATGGTAAAGTCCTATAAAAAGTGACGTTTTATCAAAAATATATTTTTTTTTTCTTAGGATTCTAAAAATAAAGGTTTATATAGAATATAAAGGTATATATAGAATTCTAAAATGTATAGAAAGGTTGAATTTAGATGTTAGAAAATAAACTTAAACATTAATTAAGTAAAAGTTACAATTACGCAAGTTTTTTATTTCATAAAATTTTGAAATAAAATTAGAATTTCAAACTGTGATGTGGATTGGAAGCTTCTAATTCTAGAAAGTTAGATGTTGTAAAATTAATTTAGTTTTAAAAGCTAGAAATTTATAAACTTGTGATTACAAAATTTTATAATTCTAGAATTAAAAAATGCGGAGTTTTTACTCTAGAAACCTAAATTTGCAAATGTTGGTATTCAAAAATCGATTTTGGAACTTAAAATTTTAGAAACTTGGGTTGAAAATTGCAAATTTTTGGAATTCAAAAAATTAATTTTTTAGTCTTGGTTTAAAGGCCAAGATTCTAGAAACACGAAATCTTTGAATTCGTTGAACTCTAGAAATGTACAAATATAAGATGGAAGAAAATAAGAATCTTAAGCTTGTGAGTTCTGCTCAAATGTTTAAATGGCAACCTAGTATATAAGACCTTTGTTTTCTACAATAAAATTTTCATATAAGTTGTCATTTTGACAACAATTGTAAAATTTAATAACAAAATAAAATTTCTTTCTCAAAACACGATCCCATGTTTTTAGCACTTTAATTTTTATTAATTATAATTTTCATACTTTTCACTCACTTTGTATTTTATTTATCAAATGACATTTTTAACTGTGATGTCCGAAAGACCATAAAACATTTTTTAACTGACGTTTTGGTGAAGAAATTGAGACAAGAGTAATTAAAGAAGCCATCTCACATGAATCATCCTGTATAAATAAAAACAATTATTTCTTTTATTTACATAGATGTTATTTACCTCAAATAAAAAACAATTATAAATACTTGTAAGTATACTAATGGAAATTCTTCTACAGAATGAATTAAAAAACTACTATTCCAATATTTCTATTATTACTAGCTTTAATTTAGTATGAAGTGCTTTTTTATAAATAATTTTAACTAGGGGTAAATAAGAATGTAAATAGATCATCTCAAGTATTGTATTTTACAATCTACAAAAATGTTTCAGTAGAGTGTTTATACTCTGAAAGATTATTTCGTATATAAGAGATATAATACAAGGTGTCCCACGCGTAATATATTTTTTGAAGCAATCAATATTACATTTTGTTGCTTCAAAAATTTTTTCAGGCTCATATTACTCGTGAGTCGTGAGACACCCTGTAAGTTTAATAATAGATTATGAAGTTAACTTTTTTTGATCATCATTTTAATTACACTTAATTGCAAGTTGTGATTTTACAATTGCCAAAATTAATTAAAAAACAAATGAACTAACTACATTTGCAAATTAATGAATTAGAAGGTTAGTAATTTTAAATTTTTAAATATTTTTTTCTAATCAACAACTGCTGGATTTACGTAAAAGAAATAAAATTTAAATATCGAAATACGTGTACAGAGTGCTTCATAATTGATTGCCTGATTTTTTATGTATGAAATTGGTGATTTTAAGGTAAAAAATAAACTCTCATTAGACTTTAAGTTTTATTTTCTAAAAAAAAGTTGGAAGAGCAATTTGGTATTTGAAATATTTATTTTAAGCATTATAGGATATAAGTTTTGGGTAAATATACGTCTACAGGGTGAGTCATGAGAGGCTGTTCTCGTTTGAGTCTTAAATTAAAGAGAAACCTTCTGGAGTTTGATGATTTTTTCTTTTCCAGTTTTAACAGTAAAATGCTTTAAAACCAAACAAATTTAGCTTCTCGTCAAGTAATTTTCTACCGTTCGTTTGGGCTCATAACTGCATGCACCCTGTGGCAGCGCGCCAAAATAGTTAGAGCAATGACCGTGCCATACATGCCTGTTTAATAATCCGTAAAAGCCTTCGTATAAACAATGAAGATCGACTCTAACATCTGTAATTTCAATTAGCAACAAAATCGGAAATGTACATCCACGTTCCTTCTATTTATAAACGTTCAGGTGCTCCACATTTCAAAGAGAATAATTCATTCTTAAAATATTTACTTACACCTCACCATTTCCTGGGAGGAAACGTTTTCTACTAAATAAAATTCATTTTGAGAAGTGTATATTGGCCGTGTTATAAACGTGTGTTTCCTGACTCATAAAATATTGCTAGATTTTTATTTGGTGGGACGTGTGCTCAACACGGTTTGAATTTTTTATTTCAATGGAATGAAATGGCGGTTAATCATTTTTGGCCGAGCTATTTGCTCCATTTGCATAATAATCACTCAACTTAAACCAAGGAAATTTCTCTTAATTGGTTTTTCATCAGATCAATTCGCGGTAAGACGGGAAAATTAAATTTCCACTTGGCTAAATCAAAAAATTATTAATTTATGGAAATAATTCCCATATTTCTGACTTTGATTAGCAGTAGTTGCTTCAAATTACTGTGGAGAGTCAAGATCAAATGTTATTAAAGTAATAATTTGATTGTTGATTAACTACAGCAAGTATACAGAGTGTCCCATCGAGTTGAAAAAGTCCATTAGTGACCTTTAAATGGTAAAATTAAAAAAAAATTATATAGGACATATTGAATCTAGTTCATCGCCTAAAATTTTAATATAGATTTTTATGACAATATTTTTAAACTTTTTTTGGTCGGTTTTGTTTAGTTTTACAAATAAGACGGTTTTTTTGACGAAAACATGCACTTTTTAAAAATTTATTAGACAAAAACTGAGACTGAGAGATATTTTTTTTACTACCGCAAAGAGGAAGGTACAAACTATAAGTTGTAACATTTTTTTAGTGTGTTGCATTTGCAAAGATAAAAAATTGAAGGCGTTTTTTATAAGTTTAATAACTTAAAAATTTAAATGGAACACCCGATTTATTGTTTTTGCATTTAAAAGATTATTAAATTGTCTTTCTAAAACTATTTACTTTTAGGAGTTTATAATCAATAACTAAAAAGAATTTTAACGTTAAACATTAAAAAAAAAATACTATTGTTTCAATAGCCAAAAAGTGCAGAGTTGCACAAGAGATGGAAAAAATATCATTTAAGTTATTTAACTTTTAACAAACTTTTTAATTTATTAATCTTTACAAATGCAAAACACTAAAAATTGCTACAGCTTTAAATTTTGTATTTTCTTCTTTGCAGGAGTAAGAAAAAAATTGTTCCAACAGTCTTAGTGTTTTTTAAAAAGTGCATGTTTTCGGCAAAAAAAAAACCGTCTTATTTCTAAAACTAAGCGAAAGCGACTAAGAAAAATTTAGCGTAAAAACATTGTTTTAAAAGGTTACATCCAAAAATGCAAAGAAAGGTACGCTGTTTCATTAAAAAAAAACACAAGTTTGTTTATTTTTGGGACATGCTGTATGGTTGAAAATAATTTTAGGTGATGCACTAGATTAGTACGTACCTATATATCAATGTCCTATACATTTTTTAAAATTTTACCATTTGAAGGTGACTAATAGACTTTTTCAACTCTCTGGGACATCCTGTATAGGTACAAACGTTAAATATTTAATTTCCAAGAGTTAAATCCGAATTATCAAAATAAATAAAATTGGATTTAAGTGATTTCAAACCTTCGAAAAACATACAAAAAGTAGGAAGTGTTTGAGAAATACTTTTTTAAATTCGTGCAAACATCACTCATAAATAAGAATCCGAGAAATGTTGATGAAATTGCTAACGAGTCACATTTTTAATAAAAATAGAAATCAGAAGCAGACTTTTCGACTCCGTTTTTCTAAAAATAAATTTTTGAGGCAATAAAAATCTTGTTAAATAGATGAATGATTTCAGGCGATTCTGTTCTACACTCCCCGATGGTTGTGGAAGTCTTGGGAAGGTGGTAAAATCCACGCTTTGATGATGGATCTGGACGTGGGCGTTTGTTCCGAAATCGAAAAAAAGCAAAAGAAGAAATTGATGATCGACTACTTGTGGGAGAATCTGAGATACCACAATTGGTGGGCTTACAAGTATTATTTTTGCGAGCTTTTGGCCCTGATTAATGTTATTGGTAGGTTGCCATTTGTTGGATAAATTTCCGGGTTTAAATTAGGGAAGGATTAAGTGAATTGTTTAGAGATTTTGGCCGATTTATAGGGTATTACTTTTTTTTGGACCTTGCTGATGACTTTATTACAAGTGTTTACATGTTTCAGGTTAAGTGTTATTTGTTTTTCATTCTCATTTCCTTATTGTTTGTCAACTGACTTTTATTGGATGTTTTATGAAATATTTTTCACAATGAGAATTTAAAGATATATTTACAGTGATGTAGTTTATTTTATTATGTCAAATTTTATTATTAGATTCCATTAAGTCGTCTCATCTATTTATTATCATATCTTTGAATGAAATTTATTATTGTTTATTTGTTGGAAATAGTAAGTTATTTATTGAGTCAGGTCATGTTTTCCTTCAAGAAAAATTAAGAAAATAATATATTTTTAATTTTAAAATACATAATATACAAGTGTGTTTATTAATCGTAATATTTTTGTTTCATAAACTGTATTTGTTATTTTTTCGTGTCGCAAGATAAAATCAAAACTTGGCCAATAAAAATATTCTCTCGTGTTCATGTCGTCACATCATCAAAAGAAGATCAAAGAATCACAAATTTGATAATTAGTTCCACTAGTTAACCACCGTTTTTTAAAAAAATACATAATATTTCGAAGATATATTCAGTTTTGTATTAATAAAATAAATGATTCACACATTTTATTTCCACAAAATAATATTATCCTGCTGGAGAGAATTATTAAAAATTCTTAGACTTTTTTGTTAAATAAAAAAACGAAAACATTTATCTTTAAACAGTATATTATAATAATACTAGTTTATAAGCAAGCCTTTAAAACACGCACGACGGGTTTAAGAGCACGACTCAGCGGAGTGATTTTACATTTTACATTTACATTTTACATTTATACAGGTTTGATTGAGTTTAAAGTTTCCATAACAAAAAAGTGTTTAAGCCTTTTTTCACGAGATATAGCTTTTTTAATCATTCGAGAGTCCGATACTTTTGAATCACCCTGCAACCAAAATTTATCGAGAAAACAGCAGAATTAAAATAAACTACACATTATTAAATTACGTCATTCGCGTAGTTCTTAAATAAACATTATTATTACTAAAAATATTATACAAAATAATTATTATTATACGACGTGTTTCAAAATAATTTTCTCTAGTCGCCTAAAGAATTTCCATGTAACATAAAAACTGTAGCTTTAAGAAATACTAAATCCATTTAACCTTAAAAGTTAATTTATTTTGATTGACAGTTGTCACTGTTGTCAGTACTATCTGCTACAAAAAGTGTAGAGCGGCACATAAAAATGTATTTTGAAACACGTTGCATAATACAGGGCGCGTCAGAACTCGCACCCCAGGGAAAGGTTCTAAGATACTTATATAAAATTTAAGATTTGTGTTTTGCTTTTTACATTCTTTAAAGTTCTAACTCATTATTTCAAAAAACTTTCAAAAATCATCTTATTTTATTTTTATTTTCTATTAAGACATGTACAGGTGGAGACAAAATACTTTGGTCGTCACTTTTCTAACACTTTAATGTAAAAGCTTTAACGTTAAAATGAATGACAATTTGAAATTAATGACAGCTATTATATTTTCCTATCAAAAATATGTACATACAACTTGTCAACTATGATTGGCAGTAGCTAAAAATAAGGTTAACAGTCCTAAAGCATGCTTTACAATTTAATGTCGCTCAAGTAACATTGACGACCAAAATATTTTGTCTCCAACTGTACTTTTCGAAATTATGCGATTTTTCATGAGTTTTAACAAGTCGTCATATTTTACAAAATATAATTTTTTTCCAATATCTTATTATCTGATTCTTTAATATTTTTTAATTGTGAGATGCTTATAGACACTCATCATATACTTTCAAGACCTTTTAAGATGATTTCCTCTTTATACAGGATGCGCCAGAACTAGCACTCTAGAGAAAAATGGCATGTAAGGTATGTAGGATACCAGGAACATGGAAAAAATTCGAAATTATGGAAGTTTAAATTTTGCACTTTGACTTTATTTATTTCTGATGAAAAAATATTTTTCCAAGTTTTTTTGCTGCAAGCTATTAGAAGAGGAAACAAGGAAGCTGTAGCCTAAATTGTATCCCTGTTTAATGTTATTTGTGGCTTTTATTGGCAAAATTTTTGTATATTTATTAAATAATTTAAAAAACAACATATACAAGATCATCAGTATCATTAAATCGACTTAAAAAATGTCAAATGTCAAAAAATTTTAACATAGAATTTTTTAAACTTTTTTTTCATGTTCCTGGTATCTGGTATAACAGAGTTACAATACAGCTTCCTTGTTTCCTCTTTTAATAGCCTATAGCAAAAAAAGTTGGAAAATTATTTTTCCAACAAAAATTAATAGAGTCAAAGTGCAAACTTTAAACCCTCATAATTTCGAAATTTTTCTAGATAAATTTTTTTAACATTTTTCCTGGTATCTTATCTTACTTGAAATTTTTCTCTGGGGCGCGAGTTCTGGCGCATCCTGTATAATTGCAAATTGAAAAAATTTCACAGAGATAAAAACTTAAATAGTCCGGATCTTGGAAAATTTTATTATAAAAATCTTTTAGCAAACACAGTCTATCAAACTCTTAATAATAATGATTTATTAACACCAAACAGCTTCAACAACAATAATACAAATTACAATACGACAAAAGAGAAAAAGCAAAGAACAAAAATTCATGACAGCTACATTTTTAATAAGCCTCTAGCTTTCTCTTTGATTGAGTTAAATGATGTTATGATGATGATGATATGATGATTTAAGGTATAGGAAACTAAAAATCTAGTTGATTTAAATCATAAAATCTAAAATATGTAATTTCAAATTTCAATTTTTTTTGTAAATTGAACTTTAGTATTTTAAAGCACACACGTAAAAGGAAACTTTCCTGACAATCCTAAGTTATAGATTTTTCTAAAACTTCGGAATTATAAAATTTATATTTTTTGAACAAATTTCATAATATTAAAACAGCAACCCTTTTAACCACGTAAGGTATGTAGGATACCAGGAACATGGAAATAAATGTTAAAAAAATTCTATCTATAAAAATTTCGAAATTATAAGAGTTTAAATTTTGCACTTTAACTTTATTTATTTCTGTTGGAAAAATAATTTTCCAAGTTTTTTTGCTACAGGTTATTAGAAGAGGAAACAAGGAAGCTGTATCCGAAATTGTAACTTATTTGTGGCTTTTATGGACAATTTTTTTGTACCTTTACAAAATAATTATAAAAAACATATACAAGATCATCAGTATCATTAAATGGACATAAAAAATGTCAAATGTCAAAAAATAAATGAAAAAAATTCTTGACAAATATAATTTTTTAAGCATTTTTTTTTATCTTCGTGGTATCTTACCTTGCTTGAAATTTTTCTCTAAGGCGCGTGTTCTGATAAACTCTACCAGTAACTTGGAAGTAAGATAATTGAGAAATTCCTTTTTTTTTTCTTGCAAAGTTGTGGAAAATGAGTAAAATAAATTAAATAAATTAATAATTTTTTGAGTATAAGTAAGTTAATTTTTTACTTATTTTTTAGCAATAAAGGAAAAAAATGGATTTTTGGTTTCTGTTGTTTATAATTCAATTTTGGTAAAATTTGATGTAATTTACATAGAAGTTCAACTAATTTGAGGTAAATTTGCAGGCCAAATGTTCCTAATGAACCGCTTCTTCGACGGCGCCTTCCTCATGTTCGGCTTCGACGTGATAGCATTTATCAATAGCGACCAAGAGGACCGCATTGACCCAATGATCGAGATTTTCCCTCGTATGACCAAATGTACTTTCTACAAATATGGCGTTTCCGGCGATATGGAAAAACACGACGCTATGTGTATCCTCCCCCTCAACGTGGTCAACGAAAAGATCTACATTTTCCTCTGGTTCTGGTTCATCATCCTCTTCATTCTAACATTTTTCACTGTGGTATACAGAGTGATCATAATTTTCTCGCCTCGAATGAGGGTTTATCTGTTACGAATGCGATACAGATTGGTCCGGAAAGACGCGATAGACCTCATCGTGCGTCGGAGCAAGATGGGCGATTGGTTTCTGTTTTACATGTTGGGGGAAAATGTGGATTCGGTGATTTTCCGGGATGTTTTGCAAGAGTTGGCGAATAAATTAGCAAGGCATAACTTTCATCATATTCCCGGGTTTAAGGGGGAAATACAGGAAGCGTGAAAGGCCGTGCCTTAGCTGCCTCACTGCCTACAGACGATGTACCGACTAGTCAGTTAAAATGATTAAGTATTGAGGTAAACATTCCGAGTATTTCATAGGAATGATGAGGGGGCGAGGGGTCAGTCGTGCATCTCTGTCGAAGCGTTATTACGAAATATTTATTTTTTATTAGATCTGTGGACAATATTATGTGCAATTATTGTTATTGTTATAAGTTATCGTATTATCTTTTGTATTTTTCGGAAAATAATAAACGATTTTTCCTAAAATTATTATTTATTTGTCTCCAACAACGAATTAAGCTATAATTAGAGGAATTAAGGTGGAACCATCATTTATCTTCACTCGATTACTCGATCGACAAAATACAGGGTATTTATCATTGTAAATTTTTTATTTGCGAAAAAAATTAAGATAATGTTGATGGCTTAGCGTACAAAAATGAAAATTTTATTCTAAATGGTAAAAAAAACAATCAATCAGAACTCGCGCTCCAGAGAAAAATGCCAAGTAAGATAAGATTCCAGGAACACAGAAAAAGTTAAAAAAAATCTATCTGTCAAAAAATTTTGCCATTTACTTTTTGACATTAGATATTTTTTATGTCTATTTATCGTTACCGATTATGTTTTTGTTTTTTCATAATTACTCAGTAAAAATGCCAATAAAAGCCACAAATAACGTGACAATTCTGGGTACAGCTTCTTTGTTTCCTCTTTTAATTGCCTTCAGCAAAAAAACATGTAAAATCATTTTTTAAACAAAAATCAATAGTGCAAAATTTAAACCTCCATAATTTCGAAATTCTTATAGATAGATTTTTTTAAACATTTTTTTAATTTTTCTGGCATCATATTTTATTTGACGTTTTTCTCTGGAGCGCGAGTTCTGAAACATTCTGTTTACAATAATAAAAAAGATATATACTTATTAAAAAACTCCTGATAAAAAATGGAAATAAAACATCTTTTCTTGGCCCAGCATTGTTATTTAGTTTTTTCCTTATAAAGCTGTTTCATGTATTAAAAACGCCTTGCTGATAGGCAGTCAGATATACACATTTGTATTGTCATGTTTCTTGATACATTAAAATTTTCCTCGTGTAAACCAGACGACTGATTTTACTGCCACCTAGTTCTCTATTCAAAAAAAGCAGATTACAGATATCCAAAAATACATCAACGTGCAGAGAAGTCGAGCCTGTGGATACATACATTTGATAATTTTTTTGTTGTAACTTTTTACACAAAATTAGTAAAAAAAGTAACGTGACAATTATGAAACTACAAAATTTCTAGAAAATTAATCATCAAAGTAAGTAATAATTAACTAAAAGTTAATTGATTTTTTTGTTCATATGGTTGTTAATTTTTATTCTTGTTATTATGATTAAATTAAAAATTGGAAGGTCAGTATAAGAACAAAGATTTCAAAATCTAAAAACACTAATACTCGTACTTATTTATTGATACACTACTTAAAACAATTAAAGGAACAAAAATATTTCCTACATTTTTTGGTGATCTTTTAACAAATTTTTTTTTGTGCTACAGTTATCACGCAAGTGCGTGAAATTTTTTATTTTTTATTGCCAACACAATAAATAGTAATAATTAAGCTGGAAATGTGATGTTACTATATTAATCGTAATTTTTAAAAATAAGTCATACTTATAGCATAGTATTAGTAGTAGTAATATAATACAATATCATACAACTTAAATGTGGCCTTTTGTTTCTTTTACTTTATCTCTGTAATACAGGGTGTTTCACACAACTTTACGAGGCTTGCGCCTAATGTACGCACCCAAATATACAAAATTCACAAAACACTAGATACATTTAATTATTTAATTTTTGGAAACCCATGACAGCAGTTGACACACTAATCACTGTTTCACTAATAGTCATAAACGGCAGATTTTCAAAAACAATTAATATCATTTATTCTATCAAGAGACGGCATGAATATGATTCTAGTTTATCTATTGTAATCACTAACTAACTAAAAATGTTGTAATTTTTTAAAGGGTGAACAAACTAGAGAAGATTATTTCATTTTTCAAAATTTTTAATCGAGTTCGTATTGGAATCTGTATTGTTGATTGCATCTTATGGGCGCATGGCTCGTAAAATTATGTGAAACACCCTGTATTTATAATGTGTAACATTTTGTTGTAAAAAAACGATGATACAAAAGTCGATAGTTTTAAAGAAGAAAAAGCATTTTAGAGAAGAAATAAGATTCTTGGAAATTGGTAATTTTGGAAATTTTAGGTTTTACCTATTTAATCATTGGGTTTAGCTACCCGTGGGGACACCCCACCAATAATCTTATCTACAAACGGGTGATGTGCAATAGCATTGGTCCTTTTAACAAGTTATCACTTTTATTAATCCTCATTTCCATTTGTGAAACTGAAATATTTTTACAATAAAGAGAAAACACCCCATAGTGGGCCACTTTAAAACTCATCCTTCTACAGGTATCGACCACTTGAAATCAAGCCGTCAAACCGCAACAATGTTCCTCTTCACCCTCATACTCACACTACCCCTTCTGACAACCTCTCGATATCATCATTTTCAATACAAACCACGAAATATCCAGTGCCATTGTGTCCCGCAACATCTTTGTACTGACGAGGACGTGACAATCAACGGACACGGATTATTAGATCCCCGGTAAGTCACCCCGCACATCCCTCAACCCTTATCTATTTTTATTTTTTCAAGGTTGGGTAACATGATTTGCGCTAACGCTGGCGAAATTTGCTGTGATTCGCCCCCGAAACCGGAAACTCCCGAAATCCCCCGATGTGGACTCTCCGGAAACATCAAAACCCGAATAACCTCAAACACGATGGCCCAGTTCGGGGAATTACCGTGGAATTTGATAATTCAGGAAAGTGTAGCTGAAGACCAAAACATTTACAAGTGTGGAGGGGCCCTAATCCACCCTCGAGTGGCCCTAACAGCGGCCCATTGTGTGTCCCCTTATTTAGAAGAACCGGAAAAAATCCTAGTCCGGGCCGGGGAGTGGAATATCGATTCCAGGGACGAATCCCTGCCTTTTCAAGACAGTTCCGTGGAGGAAATTCTTATTCATTACGACTACAGTTCTTTGTCCTTGAAAAACGACGTCGCAATCCTGATCCTTGTCGAGGATTTTGTCCTTAGGGACAATGTCAAAACTGTATGTCTTTCCTCCTCTGATAACAAAGTCGTGGAAAATGGGTGTTTGGCAAGTGGTTGGGGGCAAAACGCGCATTCCAAGGGCCGATACTCCTCGACGTTGAAAAAGGTCCAAGTCCCAATAGTCCCCAGGAGTCACTGTTTAGAAGCTTTGAGGAGGACGAGACTGGGTCCGAGATACAATTTGCACAAAAGTTTCATTTGTGCTGGGGGGAAAAAAGGGCAAGATTCGTGCAAAGGCGACGGGGGGAGTCCCTTGATTTGTCCCTTATTGGACGAAAGGGAGCGTTTTGTTCAAATCGGGATTGTGTCCTGGGGGATTGGCTGTGGAGGTGATGGAATTCCGGGAGTGTACGTCAACGTCCCCCTTTATTTAGAGTGGATTGAAGGAGAGATGGAAGAACGCGATTTGGATACTCGTTATTTCAAAATTTGATCGGACTGTATTTTGTGTTGCATATTTGTACAATAAAAGATTTTATTGGAGTGAGTGTTTCGTTTATTATTCATCAAAGCAAAGCAAGAGTGTGGAAAAACGCCATCAAAGAAACACGTGATGCACTTAACAATGAATGAATGTTTTAGTGTGAAAATGCATGTAGAGTCGTGTTTGAGCATGTGATTGATCTGCAATCAAGTTTCGCGGTAATAGTGCGTCAAATGAACATAAATCATTGAATTTACATGCAAATTTGGTCGATGCTTAATTAATTTCAATCAGGATCGCGGTAATAAGTAAATAGAGGGAATATAATATCATGGATATTGATAACGTGTGTCGACTAGACGTGACTGGAATTAGAGCGAGTATTAGTCGACCCACACAAAGATGGTTGAATAGATTTCAAGCCGAATGGTGTAATTTACGACGAGGAAATGTTTGAAAGAAAAATAATATAGTGCGACCTTTGACTAAAATTTTCATACAATAGAAAAACACGCCTTGTTTTTATTTTGTTTGGCTGTTTCCCATTACGTGGCGTCATCATCTAATATTTAAACAAAAAAATTGGAATAACCTTTTAATAAAAAAAATAAATTCAAAACAAAATACAATACATATTTTGAAAAAAAATTCTTTTGAAGTAAAATGTGTAAAAATAAAGCATAAATTTAAAGTGGAGATTAAAATTCAAAGTCGAACCAACGGGGATAAAATAAAGGCCAAATTGAACTAGTTTCGGTTTAATTAAACCATCTTCAGTTCAAATTACAGATCGAAAAAATGTTAAATTTTTTCAGATTACACGGTAAAAAGTTTAAAAGTTAAGTAATGTTGTAACAGATTAAGTATATTAAAAAGTTAAAAGGGTAACGTACTGAAGGTACTGCAACCCTGGTGTGATAAACTAAAAAAATCATTTTTAAAAGTTAACCCAACTTTGCGATGGTCACCCCCTTTACTGAAAGCATAAACTGCTGTAAATTTTTAACTTATCTACTTTCTTTGCAAGATAACAAGAGTACAAAGAAAAAAATGGTTCCCATATTCCACAATAAAAATTCTCATGGTTTGTTGTATTTAATAAAAGCAAGAACATATTAATTATCAACAAATTAATAATAATAAGACACAATTATTGCCATTTATTTAAACATGTCAAAATCAGAAAAATACTGACTTTAATAAAGAAGAAAGTTTGTCAAATAACAAAACACAAAATTGTATTTTTAGGCCAAATGGTGTAAATTGCAAAACATATGAACTGCTCTAAGTTTTAAAAGACTAACTTTATTGTAGAAAGTAGTGACAAGAAAAAATCAACTAAAAAGAAAAAAAAACAAATAGCAAAAGATTTTTATGTTCAAGCACAAATTGTTAACAAACATAATAATAATAAGGCTCGCATTATTTGCACAAAAAATCTGTAAAATATTGCGCATATATGCACGTATTTTTTTTAAAAAATATGCACGAGATATTAAAAAATATGCTCCAATATATGCCAAATATGCATCGATATGCAAAACTTTTAAAAATAAAATCAAATTTGGGATATTTGGAAATTGGGATTTTTTGTCCTCGAGTACACTAAACTTTGTATTTTCGGCATCTTAAACTGCAAACATGAACGGAAGAGAATAAATAAATTGGTTTTGCCTTAGACAAGCCATTTTAATAACCTAGTAATTAAGCTTTTCTAAGAAATCTGTACTTTTTTTTGAGTAAACTATTTATTTTTTGTAAAAAATTGAAGAATAATAAAGTAGTATAAAGATGTCATGTTTTATTAAGAATAAAATTTTCCCAAATTTTCTTTTGTTCTACAAAAATACTTCTTTTTTTAAAAGGCAACTCACTAAAAAACATTTTTTTCATGAAGGTTTTGATGTAAAGATTACAACTATCTACTTTATATAAAATATATATTTTTTTTTATATAAATTACAATTTTGACTAAGAAAATCGCATAACTCAAAAACAAAATAAAACTTCGTTCAAAAATACGATCACATTTTGTATATTACTTTAATTTATATTAATTATTATTTTCTGGAGACAAATGATTAAAAAAAACCTCTTGGTTCCATACTTTATATTCACACTGTATAAAACAAATTTAAAAAGAAAACACTCAGCAGGTTACTAATTCTTTGATCCGGCTTACGAATTATCGGTTATTTTCTCTCTAACATATTTTGTAATCGGATCATTTTTCTTAAACTGTCCAATTTTTAACTAGAACTGAAATTTTTAATCGGAAATTTGTGATTTGATGAAAATATGCAATATTTTCTAAAACATGCACAAAGTTGTCAAAATATGCAAAATATGCATTTTTCAATTGGCTTATTTTAATCGAAAAACATTAGATATGCATAGAAAACAATTTTGTTCCTACCTCTTAATAACAAATATGCATTTTGCATAGGATAATTCGAGCTTTAATAATAAATAAGGCACAACGAGCGAAGCGAAGAGTGCTTTAATACAGCATGTAACAAGGGCTTAAAATTAGCGAATGCTCAACTAAGGTAGTTCACTAGATTTTACAAATTCCTCTCAACAAAATGAAATAAATCTTATTAATTAATTCTTGTTGGAAAGGTCGATGACATTCGATGTTTTTTTCACAGTTGAAATCAGACCAAAAAGCCTTCAACATTTTTTTATGTTTAGAAATTATTGTGTTTACATTTCGAAACCTTTTAATCCTGGTTTAATATATTTTTTCTTCGAACCAGTTTTTTCATAAATAAAACCGCTATAGTTCGGTGTGAAGCAACCGATCTGGGCAAAAAAACATCGAATCCTCCTCCAGAAATACCATAGCAGGTCTGTGTGGGGTGCCCTGTCTGGTGGGCACCAGCGTCTACCACGCGTTACCGTATTTGGTATCCGTGGTTGGCAAGGCTGCGACCCGACCACCTTTTGGTAAACCAGCTACCGTCCCATCACGATTCTTATAAATTAACCTCTGTTATCGGCAGCCTTTAAATCATCCATTGTTAAGCCAAATTACACCGCAAACAAGAACTTGATTACAAAGTTGGGTACGAAAGAGGCCGAACCGGCTAATATTTTAATGGTAATTGAGGCCAGGGATGAATACGAAATCGACACAGCCCACCTTTTATTCTTTCCCAAATCAATTTTGAAAGCTCTATGATGGGTCTAACGACCCATTTTGAGTTGTTTCTTTTTTAATATGATAGTCTAGACGTATTGCAGCTTCAATTTAAATTCCAGGAGTTGAGCGATCGAGATTCAGAACGAAATTTTACTTTGTGAAAAAGTAGCGACACGTACGAGCAACAAAAACAATTCACATTCCGTGAATTACAGGTTTTATTAAGCAAGGAGCAAAAGTGGACTGAGTGTTACGTAAAGAGATGACTTGAAAAAACCACATTCCCGTTTTGGACATCTAGAGAAAGTGGAAACAATCTTTTTATTTTTTTTTTTAGTAACGATAAGTGTCAACGAAATAATTTATAAAAAAAAGAATCGTAAAATTTGTTCAAAATTTTAAACAATTTGCTATCGAATGATCTGGAATTAAACGCAGCTAAATTTGGCTCACAAACATACTTGAAAACTATCTTCGATAAAAAACTACAATAAATTTGACTTTTCCAACAATCATTACAGATTTTCTAAAAGTCCCTTTTAATAAAAAGTTTCATGAAAAATAGTATATAATCTTATTGAGAGTAAAAGTGCTACATAAAGTGCCACATAAAGTCACTTTTACTCCAAACAATATACAGGATGTCCCAGTTGACTTTAGTGACTTTTAAATGGTAAAATTTAGAAAAAAAGTACAGAACATTGATAGATACTAATCTAGTGCATCACCTAAAATTATTTTCAACCATGCAGCATGTCCCAAAAATAAGTAACGATTCAAACTTGTGTTTTTTAAATGAAACACCGTATGTTTCTTTGCATTTTTGGATGTATTTTTTTAAAACAATGTTTTTACGCTAAACTTTTATAAGTCGAATTCGCCTAGTTTTAGAAATAGGAATTTTTTTTTGGAGAAAACATGCACTTTTTAAAAATTTATTACACAAAAACTAGGACAGCTAGAACAATTTTTTTTTTACTTCTGCAAAGAGGAAAGTACGGAATTTAAAGCTGTAGCAATTTTTTAGTGTTTTGTATTTAAGAAGTTTGTTAAAAGTTAAATAACTTAAAAAATTTAAACACTCTATTTTTAATTTTTGCATCTAATAGATTGATAAGTTATCTATCTAAAAAATTACACTTTTAATGTCTAGAATTGATAAATGAAAGGATATTTAACATTCTATATTAATTGTAGCAACAATGCCTATCAATATCTGAGTGAGCATTATTGATACTATAGCAGCCATAGTAATTCCACCACGGATCACTTATCCCTTGATTTACAGAGATTGTAAAAGTCGTTATAAATACTGAAATTCGAATTATTTTATTGTAAAAATAAAGAATAATGAATTCAGTTTAACACAAATATGATTATTAAGTGGTATTACTTCCATCTCTTGTGCAACTGTGCACTTTTTCGCTACTGAAACAATAGTAATTATTTTTTTTATGTTTAACGTTAAATATTTTTTTAGTTATTGATTATAAACACCTAAAAGTAAATAATTTTAGCAAGACAAATTAATAATCTTTTAAATGCAAAAAATTGGGTGTTCCATTTAATTTTTTAAGTTATTGAAGTTTTAACAAGCGCCTTAATTTTTTTATCTTTGCAAATGCAACATACTGAAAAAATGTTACAACCTTATAGCTTGTATTTTCTTCTTTGCGGTAGTAAAAAAATTTCTAGATGTCTTAGTTTTTGTGTAATAAATTTTTAAAAAATGATGCATGTTTTCGTCAAAAAGGCGAAGGTTAAAACTAAGCAAAATCGACCAATAAAAGTTAAAAACATTCTCCTAAAAATCTACATCCAAAAACATATGGTGTTTCATTTAAAAACACACAAGTTTGTATTGTAAATTATTTTTGAGACACTCTGTATAGTTGAAAATAATTTTAGGCGATAGACTACTTTAGTATCTATTAATGTTCTATATATTATTTTTTTTTATAATTTTACCATTTAAAGGTCACTAAAGGACTTTTCCAACTCGCTGGGACACCCTATATACGCAAACGTATTCAGATCGAGAGTAAATGATTGGCAACAAAAAACCAGGACGCTTTGCAAGTAATAAAATTATAACATCATTTATAAACAAACATCACGCGACAGTATTAGAATTTGTGTTGAAATTTTATGAATTTTTATGAAAAATATTTTATGAAAAGTGTTTATGAATTTAACTAGTGCATGACTAGTGCAGTTAGTAGTGCAAAATGTGGAATGGTGATGATCTACAATCTATAATCTCTCCAGAAATTGCTGAAGCAGCAAAAGAAGCAAAAAAGAGACAACATTAGTAAATGTCATGGTAAAAGTAAAAACGCTAAGGCACAAAAATTGAATTGAAAACTTTTACTTGTGACATTTATTCATAAAAATTGTCATTTTTGCGGATAAATTGAATTTTCCGATAAGCGTTTTCTTTCATTTCGTTCATTTGTACCAAAGTATGTTTAATTTTCTGTAATTCTAACTCAAATATTAGGTGAATTTCCGTCTTAATTACGCGAAATTCCCCTCGAAGCTCACTTTGCATTTCGTTTAATTTAAATTTACGAGCGTTATGGTGCACCAGCACGCATTATTCCCGGCATGCATTTATTAATAAATAAATTTTTTATCGAGACCGGATTCTCATCATTTAACAATAAAATTTTTACGACTCGTAAGGGGCGTACGTGCAAGATAATTCACATTCTTGCGATGGAGTTTTGATAATAACTGAGTTATGTTGGTGGGAGGAGTTGGTCTTTTCGCCGACTTGCAAGAAGTTGATTAAAGAAATTTTTCAGTTTTAGTAATTTATAAATACAGAAAGTGTTTTGTCTCGCAGTATGAGACCAAGTCAAAGACTTTTAAATGTTGTTTTCCACGGAGATTTGAAGAATCTGAATACGAATTAGGTGATGTCATGACTTGGGCATAAAAACACAATGATTAAATACGTGCTTTGGAAGCAAGTGCCACTGTCTGCTTTCATGTTGAGGGATCTTAAAAATCAACTTGGAATATATTATACTTTATGTTCGTTCGAGTCAATTAACTTTGGATTTTTTTAAAGAAGAGGAGTCTAGTAATCGTCTAGCGATAATAACTGCTTCTTACATTATTGATGTTAACTATAGCTATGTGCTTGTACTTTTCTTACTTTGTTATAATATAAGCCTCGAAGGCTGAATCTTAAATATGGACTTGCTGTTTATAGCTGATAATGATAACCACAAGAGATTATTACATAAATTCGACGGTAATAACAGAAGTGAAGCGTGGCAATGGCAAAGATTATAATATGCGATTCCATTACTTGCCGACTTAAGAAATATCACAAAATTTCTACTAATGAGCAATATAATTTAACGCTAGTTGATATTTCTTCAAGTTCCTGTGTTGGCAATTTTTTTGGGTGAAAACCAGTAGTTGCGTTTTTCTGAAAATTGAGTCGAAAATAATTTCATGTAATTTTTTTACACTGCCCTAAAAAATAATAAAATGTAGACAATTGGAGTCATAATTAGTCATCCGGAAAATGCAAAAATTAACAAATATCTTTCTGGTCATTTTGGTCAAAAATGCTCACGATTGACAATTATATAAAAATATGTTCCACGGGCCGGGTTTTTACGTCCAGTTTGTTATAAAATAGTTTTAGTCAGCTCCAGATTTTACATATGTCCGGAAACGTCTAAAATCTAAACACATTCGGATTCTTTGAAAGATTCAAGATGAAAAATTATTAATCAAAATACATATTAACACGATTCTAAAACCAACAAATATGGTTTTACGCACAAAAAAAGTATTAGCCATAGAGCAAAAATGGTGATGAATTTGACTAATTCAGACAATTTTACAGTAACTAATTTTCAGTAATTCCGTTCACAAATTTTCAAATATTTTTGAAATTATTAAAAAATATTGTGAAAAATTCTAGATAAAAAACCTTAAATCCGGACTATTTAAGTTAAAAAAATGTGCAAAACAGATATTTTAAGTTTAATTGATTTTCAGAAAAATGAACAAAATCAATAAATTATTGGTTTATAAATAAGAAAATATTGACGGTAGATAAAAAGCGATGACTTATTAGCAGTGGCGGCTCGTAGTCTTATTAAAAGGAGGCAGATTTTTTTTTTATTAAAAAAAATTGAAATATACGTATCTACACATGTCATATACCGTGCGATAAAAAAAAATTAGAGTAGGCGGTGATTAAAGTCCTTCAGATGGCAATCATGATTTTTGACATTAAATGTCAGCGGAAACTTTGAGAAATTTGCGTTTTATTCCTTTTGAGTGAAATAATGTTCACTTTAGAGCAGAAAATTTTTATTGCTGTACAAGACGAAAACGGTGAATGGGCATTTTCACTTTCAGTTTGTGTGGAAAATTTCCAGCCCAGATTCTCAGACAATGTGTTGCCAACTGTAGAATTTAATCGACGCCTACACTATTTTTTTTTGATCGCACGATACTTGACGACTAAAAATGATTCTTTGCTTTGCTGACCACGAAAAGCCAACTTTTAACACCACGACTTGTAAATTGCCAAAAAATATTTTTTTGTGTTTTACTTCCAGTTAACCACTCATATTTAATACACCAGGAATTTACAAAACTATATTAATAATTAATTTTTCCACCCTAAATTCAGAAAGGAAAGTGGCCAATTACCCCCCCTCATCTGTCAAAATTACAATAAAAATATATAAAACCTATCAGGGAGGTAGAAATTTTACCTACCCCATAGAAACTGAAAAACATGCTGCTAGATTTAATGGCAAAACTGAGATATTAAGATAAATTGTTAGTATTGAAGTTTTTCTTGCTAGATCCTAGGAAAAATTATATGTATTACATTGAAGGAAAGTGTCTTTTCCTCCCTGGGTGGTTACTACCCTCGACAAGTCGTATTTGATTCATTTGACAAGTCTCGGGCAGTAACTTCCACCTGTGGGACGAAAAAATACACTTTCCTTCCTTGTAATACAAATAAATATTATTTAAGTCTTGATGAGGTGCTCCCAATTTTTTTGCATGTAACTTATCGTCGTACAAAAGTCGAGAAAATTTATTTGTTATTAAACTGAACGATACGTAGTAATTTTTAATAGTTACCTTCTTCATAGACACCTCCATACTCAAGACGCACATATTCACTTATTTTGACAACAACCAATCACTAGGTACACTAAAAAAAACTACACTACATTTTGCATTTTTGCAATCTTGGATTATTGCAAAAGACACCGTAGCAAATTTGACAATTGACATTGACAGATTTCAGTATTCCCGGCAAATTGAAAAATTAATTTCTATTGAAATAATAAAATAAAAAAAAGGCGGGGCTGCCTCCTGCCCCACTCAAAGTTCGAGTCGATTGCATTTCGATCACGTGTGATATACGACGTTTTATCTTACAGGTGCAACTATCCAAAAAATTAAGTTTCATTCAAGTAAAATATTCACCTATAAAAATATAATAGTAAATATAATAGAAAAAAAAAAAAAAATATAATAGTCAAATTTACTCACTTGTGAGTACTTTATCTCACTTGTGAATAATATTTGATTTCTATCACCTAAAACAATGGTCTAAGGTACCTCAAAAACTCAACCTGTAAGATACAATTTATTATTTATAATACAGATAAAATTCCTGGTATCTTACCTTAAATTTTTCTCTGGGGCGCGAGTTCTGGCGCATCCCTGAATAAAAATTGTAATTTACGTTTCAAAATTTAAATTTGTAGTAAATTATTTTAGCACTGCCTCCTTTGTCTCTCTTGACGAGCCGCTTCTTTTACATAAGAAAAAATTAATTTACGGATATTCCAGTTTTTAGAAAATAAAAAACATCAGTATCGGATTTATGCCCGAAAATGTCAAAAAATCGTCAAATATTTGTTAACTGATAAATGATTACTTTGGTCGCAAAGTGTAATAAAGACTAAAATCAACAAATACCTATAGTGGTTTACAAAAATTTTGGATTTGATCAAAGATTTCTAGGGTAAAAAGATGATACTAATCACCAATCAGCTTCGGTTTTATACCTATTCGAAAAGTTAAAAAACTTGACAAGTAGTTAAAATCAAAGAAAACTTGATACGTTTTCTTCTTTGTAATTCTCCCATCACCTGTCCCATCATCCCACCCATCGCTTTTCCCTCCCGGCCACCACCATTACCGCCACCGCCACAGGTGACGATATCGTCACCCACGCACGCTTTTCCACGGTTGTCTAAACAGCTCTGACCCCTCCTGGGCACCTGTGTGACGTAGCCGTACCATGGCTTCGCGGCCGATGCACGCGGCCGACCAGCAAGAGTTGCTGTGAGGCCGCCGTACCATCGCCTACCATCGTGGTATAGTGTCCGGTGAGTGTGTGTGTGTTTTGCTGGGCGCCAGCCTTTGTGCAGTGTGCGATTTAAATTCGGATAAACCGGATTTCGGGTAAGTGACACCGAATTAATCCGGGAATTTAAAGACAGAAATTTGCTCCTTTTGTCATTAAATTCCAATAAAATTTCAAAATTGTTTCATACCCGCAGGACGAGACCTTGAGGTTGTGATGGAACTATTCATAGTGACATTCTTGGTAAAAAATATCTTTTGAATCATCGCGGTTTCACATTCACTGGTTTTGATAATTACAAAACACCTACGTTTGTTGAAAACTAATGTGTTACTTCAGCCAATTCTTGATTCATTTTCTACTTATTGTTCTCGGGTTTGAGTGACTTTAATGATGAGTTGAGACAGAGACATGAGTCAGAACTATCGGCTTATTTATCTCTAATTTAAATTAAAGACCAGATCGACTATTGTAATTACACTTAACCGTCGTAAAAGTTTATTTTTATTTTTAATTAATCACTTAATTAAGTAATTTTTTCAATTTTTGTTGATTTCTAAAAGTGACTTCAATGCTGAGTTAAGAAAAAAAGTTAATTTACTTCGACCACACCTTTTGAGCGTGGTTTATTTACATATTAGTTATAGTATAGGTAATTCATACATAATTTATTTCGATTTTTGTGTTATTTTTTTATTTCCTTTATCATTAAACGTGCTTCCAGTCACGTGTCCATTTGCAATTAAAATAGTTAAAATTTTCATAAAAATACCGAACTTCAGATTGAAAATAAAATCCTTGTAATTACATGATCCAATTTTATGTTGTTTTTCAAATGACATAAACCAGATATCATCTGCTCAACCACCTGCCACGATACCACCCAACTTCACTTTTTTCCAACCATAGCTTTGGGCAAATCCCATACAATACAATCTCAGATAATGATGTCACAAAGTCACGATTTTCCGGTTGGTTTTAAACAAAATATCAAGCTCGCTTCAAAACTTTTTCTTTTGTTTGGTTGAATAATTAGCCTTTGCGTTCATGTTGTATAAAATAAATTGCAGGATCGCTTCTTATTATAAATAAATCGAAAGTAACATTTCCGTCAGGCGGAGTGCAGTTTATACTTTATATTGATTTGAGAATCTGAGTTATATAAGAGCAACACGTAACTCCGCTCGAGCATGAAGTAGCGTGAGGTAAAAGAGAAGAGTGAAAAATTTGATTTTCTAGAGGAAAATTCTGACTAATTAGTGAAGAAGTTTGAATTAAAAAAATGTTAGCTGCGTGAATTAATGAGATTGTGCCAGGTTTTAATTAAAGCTATAGTTGATTGACAGAATGAATGTCGGATCAGACAACTTGTCAATTTTGACGCGTGGAGAAAAAAGACAGAAAAGCACAAATTATGGGCAATCGGGGAGATAGAAACTTGTTTATTTTGTAGATAAAAAGCGGAATGTTTATCGGCGGAAATCCTGCCAATGCCATTTTTCAAAAAAAATTCTTTTTGTAAATGAAAAACAGAAAAATATTTAATCACTTTTTGATACTTGAGACATTTTTTTTAATTTTCAATCTGTAAAAACAGTTTCAATCGACAAAAATAAAAGAAATAATTGGTCAGCAGAGGACACAGAACTTTAAGATTAAATCGCAAAAAACAAACATGAAAATGTTAGAAGAAACACCCTGTAGGTATTTTTTTAAGTTAAAAAATATTAGGTATTTGATTAAATACATGAATATGAAGCAGAAACTTGTTAGTTGACGCAGCCTGTATTTTATGAATTTTGGCCACGGTTTCGTCATTTCAATTATCAAATTTTTTAAAATTAAGCTCGAAATTATAATAAATACTTTGATGTATTATGTTTAAAAAGACTTGTGGTTTTTTATTCGTGTTTTCAAGCTATTAGAAATGTTTTTGAGTAAGATGTGAAAAAATATACAGAGTGCAACGAAAAGATGGGGACAAAGAGTAACCGAGTTTTCCCAGGTTAAAATAAAGCGATTTATTCCAAGTTATCTCTATACCAAGTTGCACCGTTTAAAGTTTAGAGGGCGCAAAGTTTAAAAATTATTTTCGTTTTTCTTTAATAACTTTTTAATGGATTAATCGATTTTTACGAAATTTGCTACAGGCAATTTCATATCTCAGTATCACATGGTACGGTGCTATTTTTTATTTTATTTTTATTGTAAAGTACACATTTGACACATTTTAAGTCATATTTTTGTTATACGTAATCCGAGTAGCGTAATTCTTTTTTTATTTTAAAAATACATTACTTTTAAACAATTTTTGTATCGGCCTTGGTTTTAGGGTTAAAAAATAATTTAAATATTAAAGTATTAAAATTTTGAACGTTGGCCATTTATTATCATTGTTTTTAAAATTGTATTAAAAAATAGGTTTTAGTGTTTTAATGTATGTTTGTGTTAGTTAACAATAATGTAATTAATTATTAATTGAAACAAAAAAATCATATTTTCATAAGCGTCCTCTAACTTTTAAACGGTTCAACTTGGTATAGAGTTAAGTTGGATTAAATCACTTTCTTTTGACCTCAGAAATCTCAGGTTACTTTTAGTCCCCATCTTTTCGTTACACTCTGTATAATAAAAGTTTAATATTTTTCAATTTATTAAAACTGAAAGTGACATCAAAAATTTAAACTGAAACTACAATAAATATAAATAAGTGCTTAATTTTAATTCTTGTGTAGTTTGCAAATTACTATCAAATAAAAAAAAATCTGATTTGGTTTTCAAAAAACAAATTTAATTTTTTTATTTTTTTAAATATTTGAAATAAAACAATAAATTTTCAGTTTATTCGTCTAACAGGCACACTACGACAACATGGCGGATAACGCCATATTGGAAACAATTGTGTACTATAACAATATAGTACTGAAGAAGTTTTAAATATAGAGCAAAACATTGGAAACATTAATTTGTAATCGCAAAAAATTAAAACAAAAAATGTGAAAAATATTGCTTTAATCGAGGAAAATGTGAAAACATGAAAAATTTAAATGAAAACACAAAGAATAACAGATACGAGTAAATGACCATATTTTTTTAACGTTTTGTACTTGAAATTCAGTACATTTAATAGATACAAAAATATAAATGATTTTCGAGAATTCGAACCGATTTTATTTCTGATTAAAGAGTCCACGAACAGCGCTTGAAATGTCAACAGAACAATATTCATTATGCAAAATACCAATCTTGTTTTTTCAAGAAAATAAACATTAATGTCTTGTTCTTATTTATTTAAAAAAGTGTGTAGGCTAAACCTGACCACCTTCTAAGCAAAAACCCGTTTCGAACAAAGAAACTTAATCGAAATTTTTAAAACGACTCTGAGAGAAGCAAACACATGACAAAATTTCTCGAGAATTTTGCGTCACATTTTTCCACATAACAATTGCTATTAATTTCTTCTAGCATATGACATGTTTGCTTAACGGTCTTCGTCTCTAGTTATCCTTCGGTGAATTTTACAGCTGCCGGCCTGCCACGGTCCGGTGCACGTATTAGTTCCGACATAACAAAATCCACTTAAACCTTGAATATAATATAAATCAAAATAATACCCCGACATTCCTTATTTACTGTTACTAATTATTACTTAGGTTGGAGTACCGCTCGCAACAATTCCAGGAGGCATGCTAATAACCATTCTATTATGATTGTGCGCTCCTGAAGCACCGAATTGAGAAAAAATCAAGAGTGGAGTTTGCTAAAGAGCGACTTCCTGCTTGAAATTTTGTCGCGTCACGAGTAGTAAGTTTTCAAGGGAACTTCGAAATTATGGCCGGACAGGAAGTTGACAAAGGTTTTATTTTACATCACATTTCGATTAAAACACCATACATGGAAGTAGAACAAAAGTTCTATTTCTATCACACTTCCTTTTACTGCGCACCCAATAATTTCCGATTAATCCTCCGATCTTGTTCTAACTGTAATTCGAAGCACATTCTCTTGTACCACTTTCCAACCTTTGCAAAAATCCACTTTCAAGTAATTCAAGACGCATCAACGGTCACACTTACATAACATTTAATATTATAATTATTCAGTCGTGACCTTTACTTTCAATTTCTAAACCCACAACCATCGAACCTTGTTGTAACCAAATCACTGTTTGTACAGTCAAGGCTCTTAGAAAGTTGAAATTTAACACTTGGGAGCAAGTAGGTTTGAGTTTAACGCCACATGGAGCAGAAATTTACCGTAAAGTTGCAAAAATGGGAGATGAAATTGTCCCACACAAGTGTGATCTCACCATGAACCGCTAAGTCCGATGATCTGCATCGAGGAGTAAAAAAACTATCGATTCTAGCAAAACTTTGACCACAACTCTCTCTCCCAAGAAACAATGCTAAATTTAGTCTTGAGGCTAGCAATAATCTAACAATAGAGTTAAACATGCGAAGGTTCAACGGTCGATTGCTATCCGATCGAATGAACCAAGGGATCATTACGCAATTATGTATAGATGCGTTCACTTTTTAAACTGTTTGGTAAACAATTACTAGGAGTTTAAGCGACGTTTCAGAGTTAATTGGATATTGAAAGAGCTACGAAAATAAAACGCAAACAGTAACAAGTGAACAAGTCGATAGTTTATGTCGCAATTATGGCGCTGAATGAACCGAAGGTTTCGGTTCTAAAACTGTTGGAGACTGATGCGTAATGTAGGGGAATTCCTCTACTATGGGTTTGCTGATTAAAAAAATGATATTGATTTTGAGACAGTTCAAGATTTTGGAAACTATAAATAAATGTTCTTAATTCAAGCTGCTAGACTAGTACATCATACAATACATACATCAATTCAAAGTTTTGGTTCTTTCTGTAACATTGTTTTCCATCAGTTGGATGACTTTTAAACTTTATACAGGGTGTTCCAACAAGTTGGAAAAGTACCTTTAAATGGTAAAATTTAAAAAAATTATATAGGACATTGATAGATAATAATCTAGTCTATCGCCTAAAATTATTTTCAACTATACAGCGTGTCTCAAAAATAAGTTAATAAAACACAAATTTGTGTTTTTTTTTTTAATAAAAC